CCCAGCTGTCAGAAGCAGGCTGTCGGCAGGCCAATGGCCGGCCGCTCGGCCAGCTTCGGCTTTCAGCACGGCTCAGCACTCGACTGAGCTGCTCGGCCGTGATCGGGAGCTGTACGGGCTATTGTGAATAGCCCGTACAGCACCCCCTCGGTTCTCCTGAACCGAAGGGGTCCCGGGGCTGAAGCCAGCCGAAGGATCGGCTGAAGCTACGGCCAGATCCTTCGGCAGCTTTGTGAATAGACCCCCTAGTGTCTGTCTTACTTGGTACAGCTGAGCGCGCTCCATCATATTATACAAAAGAGCTGAGAATTGTGCTTTTTAGCGCAACGGATTTTTATTCGCATGCGCCTATATTCATTTCCAGAACAGCTCTCAAATATGTTTTTAATATGGCCATAACAGTAAATCAAGGAGATTGTTCTTTATAAACAGTTGACACTTTGGAGTGAAGGACTGATTATACCCCTAGTCATCTATCTAGGTGTCTGATTGTGTATTAGAGCTGGGTGGAAACTTGTCGGCTAAACAGTAATTGGATCTTATCATATAAGGTCACTGCTTGGTTATTCTAAAAACATTGGGTGTTGCAGGTGCCTGAATATAATAGCCAGCAGGAGAGTTTCCTCTATTTACACTCATTAGCCTAGATGGAGGTACTGACTGATATCTCTCACTAAGGCTGCTGTGGGACTGAATTAGCTTTACTATGCACAAGTACACCTCTTATATTAGAGGCACATTTAACCATAAAAGGATGAAGCCAACCCTGGCTAGCTGTGTAATTCCCCAAGATTTCTTGCCAAACCCCAGGAAGAGTCCAGGGGTATATAATATACCCAGTGACTCATTCTCCCTGCAAAACCTACTATTTTGCATTCCTTACTTGGTTTTATCTTCCTATGGGAAAATGTATGCATATAATGTGATCAGGACAAGAACAGAATAAAGCAGGATTCTGCATTTTTTACATAGTTGTTTCATTAATATAATATATTGCATATTAATATTTTTGTTCTTATTTAGAGTCAGCAGGTGGAGCTCTGGTGTCCTTTTAACATTTAGTATTGTATTTTTACAGGTACAATTCTTAGGCCTCATTCACACAACTAACAGCCGGCCCGTACAGATCCATGCTGCATGCACGGCAGTATCGGGCCGCTCCCGGGAAGGACAGGTGCTGAGTGTGATTTGTAAGCAGCAGCCTTTTCTTCTCTATGGGTGTACGTGGCCGTACGCCGCCATATGCTCACACGAACTGCACGTCTGTGCGGGTGCGGCTGTCCCTGCTCGGACACAGACAGGATCCATCCTGTCTGCATATGAGTACGAACACCCACATGGACATGCAGTTCAGATGAGCGTACGACGGCGTACGGCCGAGTACTCCCATAGAGAAGAACAAGCTGCTGTGTACAAATCACACGCAGCACCTGACCTTCCCGGGAGCGGCCTGATACAGACGTGCACAAAGCACGGATCTGTAGGGGCCGGCTGTTAGTCGTGAGAATGAGGCCTAAAAGTAGCCTATTTAATAATCACCTCATTCGTCAGAGCAGTAAATCATCCCTTATCAGACCACTTAGTATGAATTTTTAATCAGAGAGAGCTGCAATGCGAGCAGCTTTGGATATAATGTCCCTTTTTCTAACCCATTGTGCTCTTGGATTTCTTTGTCTTGTAATAATTGTCAATTTGATTAATTGTAAATCAAAGATTGTATACATACAATAATGATATACAAAAGGTTAAAAAAACATAATAAAAAATACATTTTAAACAAAAACCATAAGGCCTGATTCCCACCTAGGTGGCACTGTTTTTGCGTGTCTGTAACAGCATGCGGTCATTTACGCGTTTATGCCCATTGTGCACATTTGTATGCGCATTTTAACGCATATACAAGAAAATGCGCATTTTGATTGGCAGCTCATACAACATTTAGGGCAATAGAAGACTGCGTGTATAAATGTGCAAAAAGGCTCACAAAAATGTGCAACATGCTTCTGTCTCACGTTTTTGAGTATTTCCAATGAAATCTATGGGGCAAAAAAGCGCTTTTATCTGCCCAAAGAAGCTTCTGTACCTTTTCGGGCTTTTGGCGTTTTACTGCTGGTGTTTTTCTGCGCAGGTGTAAAATCATGGGACTTCTTGTGTTGGGCATTTAAAAACGCTTTTCGAACTGCTCAAAAACTGCTAGGTGTGAACCAGGCCTAACAGTTTGTCTTGAACAACAAACTGGTAGGACCAGGGGCGTAGATAAGGGGGGGGGATAGGTGGGTTCAAACCCCCCCCCCCCCCGAGTGTCCTGGCAGTGGCTAGCGAGGGGAGGGCACAGGGGGGCACGTACTCCCGGGCACGGAGTTTAACAGTGTTCTTAAGGCTCCAGAGAAGGGCCCATCTAAAGGGATTCCGGGGATGTCCTGTTTGATAAAACATCGGTGACGGCTGGAGCAGACGCCGATGTTTTATCAAACAGGACATCCCCGGCATCCCTTCAGATGTACATGTTTCTGCCTGGCCCTGAATGATCTGTACATGTCTCAGTGCGGGCCCTGCAGAAGACAGGGTGTCCTTCCAGTGATCAGGATCAGAAGGCAGGTAGGGAGGGGGGGGACAATAAAGTTAAAATGACATTAAAGTTAAAAAAAATGTTTCCCTCCCCCCTATGTTAATGTCAGCACTTACCTTAAATCAGGGGTGCTCACAAGGTCGATTGCGATCTACCAGTCGATCGCGTAGCGATCACTGGTAGATCGCCATGTCCTCTCCTCCCGCCGCTTCTCTGGATCCCCGCTGCTCTCCCCAGCGGGGATCCGAGAAGAAGTGAAGGAACCGGCGGCGGGGGAGGGCGGAGGACGGAGCCGCTGTCACTAACTAATGCAGAGCAGTGAGGAGAGAGAGAGACGCTCGGCCAGGATCTGACAGCCGGCGCCTCTCTCTCCCCTCACTGCTCGTCCCTTCTGTCACAGCGGCTCCGCCCCCCCGCGGCCTAGCGCAAAGCACAACTTGAGACCCCACCAGGCCACCAGAGACCCTGCACAGCCCACCCGAAACCGTGCACAGCCCACCCGAAACCGAGCACGGCCCACCCGAAACCCCCTGCACTGACAACCCGAGACTCCGAACAGCCCACCAGAGACTCCGCACAGCCCACCCGAGACTCCGCACAGCCCACCTAAAATTTCGCACAGCCCACCAGAGACCCCACCAGGCCACCAGAGACTCCACACAACCTACCTGAAACACCACACAGCCTGAGACTTCGCACAGCCCACCTAAAACTTGGATATATGGATGTAGCCCGCCCTACCTCAAGCTGACACTTGGTGCCGGGCAGCATATTTTGAATGGCCCACTGAACACAGGCAAATAGTCCCACCGACTAATAGACCGAGAAGCCCCATATAATGTGTGTGTGTGTGGGGGGGGGAGGTGCTGAAGTGGCCACGGATGTCGCTTTTTTTTTCAAACCTTGCTGTGTCTGCCCCCCCCCCCCCCCCCAGGGAAAAAGATTATCTACGGCCCTGGGTAGGACCCAGGGGAAGAAATATGTAAGCTGCCATTGCTCATGTCACCTTTTAAGTATGCAAGCTGCCCGCTTGTCAAGCTGATCCAATTGCTTCTACACTTTGAGCATCTGACCTGGAATAAATATGACTTCTAGTGTTCCTCTAATTTGGATCTGTGTACAGTTATATTTACATACTGTATATATATTGGCTTTAGATGGGGTGAAGGGTTGGGATTTAATGGAAAGCAGATGCTTAACTGTAGCTTGCCATTATCCTATAAGTTTTATGTTGCTTGGTTCCTTTTAGCATGTGATGTTGATGTTTTATAGTGCTAAAGCAGAAGACATATGCTAGAGCAGTTTTAGAGGTTTAAAAATAGCTACATCCCTTTCATGAGATTCAATACCTTTCTACTGATAATAACATGATGGTAACATTCTCCCTGCAGTGAAGACCGCCAGCCAGCCTGTTGTCTCACAACCCACCTATTAATTGTAAAACCATAACCAGAGGCAACATTTCCAATAAAAGTAAAGCACAAAAATTCTAATGACGCTGATGACGATGGCAGACAGAGACTTTGCATACAGACCAGAATTATAGTAAAGATTTCATGTAGTTCCTTACTTATTGTGGATAAGATGCTCAAATTTTCTAATTTCTCATGGAAGAACAAATTTTCAATTAAACCTCCGAGCATGTGTATATTTGCACTGGAATAATCTATATGAAAATATTCAACAGACTAAGGAAGGATTTTTAAATTAAGCAAACAAAGGCCACTGTACAGTTAAAAGTAATATATTTAATGTAGCATACAAATGATATGCCATGATTTCACAATACAATATGAAATGAGTTTTTCACTTTAAGCTTAAAACGGATCACATCCTTTCCAAACAGCAACGTGAAGGGTCTCTCGCCCTTATACTGTTCAATTTACAACAGTGGGACCCAAGTCTTGCTATTGTGTATGTTAACCTAGCAGAATCAGTAGACTTCATTTAAATGAACTGAAGTAGTGCATTTCAAACATCCAAACACATGCAGAAAAAGTTCCTGTTTTTTTAAACTACTGCACATGATTGGATGTTTGAATCTAATTCCCTGCACTTAACCTCACGCAATAGTAAATCAGACCCAAATATTATATTATCTTGGTAATTATCAGCTGAAATTTACCAGTTTAAGGAAAGATGTTACACTGATGGTCTTGTTGATGGTTTAACATCTGTTTTCATTTGGCAAATCCCAGTTAATCATATTCTATCATTTAACAAGCAAAATGATGGCGTCTATAATAAAAGATAGTTGAAAGCAATAAATTTAAATGCACTGAAAGTGAAAATGCATTCTAGATTATGAATGTATTGCAAAAATGAATACTGACTGTCCTTAAAGTGCTGGACAGAGTGGTTTGGAATACCACTTTGTTTTTTTATGACTTGTCCATGGTATCTCTAATCATTGTAAAATTATTTGTGTGTTTCACTTTTTTATTTTTTGTCCAGTTCTCTTGAGCTCCCTCTCTGTTACAATGAGTGGTATTTTTATGGAAACCCTGCCCCACAGAAGATTCTGCAAAACATTAAGTGCCTTAACTTTATTGCATCTTCAACACACCTTGCTAACTGGGACTAGTTTTTTTTTTTACATGAAGATGTTTCAGGCAAAGTAGTGCATGGTGATAGGGAAAACTTCTTGCTCTTCCCAAAACCAACCATCTCCCTTAACTTTTCCTTGATTTCACAGATTTTCCCCTTCCCTTAGCTATATTAAACTCATTGCTGTGCTGCCCCCAACTCTCTTTTGGCTTTCTCTGCCTCCTTTAGGGCATTGATGACTGGCAACCAGGGAGAAGGCAATTCTGGAAGAGTCTTCTTGGCCTGTGTGATTGCTGTGTAAAGGGTGCCATGTGGTCCTGCTTCTTGCTGGGAATAATACATTTCCAGATCTGTAGGAGAGCAATGCTTGTGCTGTAGAAGAAAATGCTCAGTCATAAAATAATAGATTTAACACAAATAAGAAGAAGCAATTAACAGATCAGAATAATCAATATATGCATATTTTCAGCAGAGATAAAGCATACTTATTACTAGCTGTTACCTATCTTACCTATTCTCTTGGCCTAAAACCCAAACTGTTTAAACTGGTAAACTGTTTTACCATTCAAATGATTTGTTATTCTCTGCACCCAGTCATGTTATCTAAGTACCTCTACCAGGCAGAACACCCAGGTGCGGAAACACCACTGTAGATTTAGCACTATAAGGGCTTATGGCATGGGGGGTCTCAGCTGCCGTTGTGATGTGCAGGGTCCCTTGTGCGTACCTGTGCCTTTAAGGGAGGTTGGGCTTCCTCCTGACAAACCTGCACCCAATTTAATCTTTTGCCCCATGTGCTCCAAGATGGAGACTCCCATAGTTTAGAATTAGATTGTTATATAAACAATCCAACATGTGCAGTGGTTACCAAAACTTTGCGAATGCAGATGCCGGGTTGCCATAGCGACAGGACACCGTCGTTCAGTGAGAGCAGAGGGACAGTCCACTGGCGCATGCGCCCTGCGGTACAGGTATCGTGCTAGCAGCCAAAGAGGAGTCAAAATAGTCACTGGGAATGTGCATGGCGTGGTCCGTCCTATAAATCGGATGGAACGCACCGCCATCTTGCGCTTCAGGAGACAGACTCGGTTATTTGTTGCTAGGCAACCACAAGCAATATGCGTGTCATCCGCCCATTGGCCAGAGGCAATTGGGGAGGAGCACCACAGATCTCAATCGAAACGTACTGCACAGATTCATAATTGAAAGAAAAATTACAATAACAATGTATGTGTTGTAAATATATTGCTATTAAATTAAGGCAAGAATACTCCGAACAGGTAAACAGCAGATTTATAGGACGGACCACGCCATGCATGTTGGATTGTTTATATAACCCCCCCTGTTCATTCATGAACTTCTCAATGGGGATATCAAATATCTTACTATCAGCAGTTTGTGAATGAATGGAAAGCCTCTGTACTGAGTGCTTCCCATTCACTGAGTGCTGAGGCTGCAGAAAAAGACATTGAGGACTCTGTGTCCTCAATGTCTTTTTCTATTTCAAAAGGGAAATGTCAAGGGTCTGTTTAGATCCCTAATATTTCCCAGAAGACCCCCAACAGTAAAATAATAATAATTAAAAAATAAATTAAAAATGTGTAAATACATTTAAAAAAAAGCACAAACCCCCCCTCCCGCACACACACATAACATACACGTGCACCATATTGTGGTGTAAGCCAGGCAGATGCACTGCAGTGCGTTGTTAGAACGCATCGCAGTGCATGATTTTTTTCTTTTGCAAAGAAACATTAATTTAACTGTGGCAGCGCATGGCAAAGCTTTGTGACGCATTGCCGTGCGTTGTGATACCTTGTGTTGTAATTAAATATACACCAGTATCATTTTATCACGACACAAACACCAACACAGCGCAAAAACCATTTATAACATAAATCGCTTATTTACAGTTTAGCGTTCCTTCATTTTTTTTATAATCCCCCTTTCCTCAGCCACTCATTGGTGTGGCAGTATTAAAATAAAGTGTTAGGCATCATTCAGGTGCCATTCACACCACGGCGGAAGCATTTTTGGCTGTTTTTAGTCATGTCTCAGCGCTGAAACGCAATTAAAAACGCTAACAAACGTGCTGATCAGTGCATTTCTATTAAAATGGGGGCGGGGGGTTTCGTTGGGGGGCCCTCACAAAATTTTGCTATGGGGCCCTGGGATTTCTAGTTACGCCCCTGGTGGTTAGACAGGTTTTTTTTGCATGCTGGCTGGTGAGTGTGCCTGGAAAAAGTTTTGCTGTTTTACTGCATTTAATAAATAGGATGTGAAATGCAGACCATAGTGTTTAATAATAATATGGTGTCCAACGGATAGCAGTATCCACTCCATTTTAAATTGGCCCCTAAATCTTGCTTTACAAAGGTAGCAGGGCCCTCAAGAGTGACTTGTGGTTTCAAGTGGCCTGGTTCAATTTGTTCAGAATCAAATTTTTAGAACATAGTTAGGGCAAAAAAGAAACAGCAAATGATGAAAAAGGGGATTAGTTATAACTGAAGAAATTAAGGACACACAATTATAGGTAGAGAAAGTTCAATAGTTTTAGTAGGCTTACTGAAAAGGAGGATGTTGTTAAGATATGGGCGTCACTAGTAAGATTTAACATCAGAGCCTTGCTGATATTAATTAATCTTTTGATGGAAAGTATTGAATATTTTGCAATTTTTAAGGGCTATGTTGTCACAGTACCTTGAAAATGAAACCTTCAGGACAAGTGAGCTGCTCATACCACAGAGCCTTGTACATCACCAGCATCAGAAGACAAGCCAGAAAAACCATTGTGATCAGGATCAGACCAGTCAGCTTGAGGATTCAAGGAAACACAATGAGATATATTTCAGAACAACAACATAAAATAATGGCATTTGGATGAAATGTTTATCAGTCCTTTCTGCAGAACAGAGACAATGAAGGGTCCACAGAGGAATTTCTTATAAATCGAAATCAGCGTACACAAGTTATCTTGAAAGAAGGCCATGTATATTACAAAATGTTTAAATGAAAAATTTGCGGTCAACTGAACCGAAAAGCAGGAATGTGAAGCAATCAGGGAGAAATGAGGCTGATCCTTTGTCAGCTCATGGATTACTTGTAATTTAAAAATCAGAAATATGGGCAATTCACAGTAAGTATATGATAAAAATGCATAGGCAGACGGTTTCTTAAGTGATTTTTGAGTGTGGCCACACCTCACCAAGCCTATCTAGTGAGGTTCATCATCAAATTATATGCTCAACATTTATAGAAAAACTCTGGATTTACAAATAACTTCAGGTGGCTATATATCTGGAACTACTGGACATTTTGATATGTGATTTACAGTGAAAGCAAAGTTTACATATTTATTTTTTAATCATATGCTTATTTTGAATTTTCCTAGCTTGTGACAAGTTTACAAGGCTTTGGTCTAAAGAAATGGTAAATTAAATTCTCATAAATTAAAGATATATCAACAAGAAGAAAACATTTTCACAATAATAACATCTAAAATGTTATTTACTGTCAGAATTTTATAATAGGTTTATACCTTGACCTTTTCAGAGACCTCATCATACAGGTTTATGTTCAGTCGTTTTATCCCTGGCACATGGATCTTCCTCTTTTTTTTCTGCTGCAGCTGATATTCTGTCCGAGTCTTTACAATCAACTAGTGAAGAAAAAAAAAACACATGTAAAAAACAGATTGCATATAACTTGGTATTTTTCTTTTTATAGAGGTAAAAATATATTTTCTAGCTTACAAATGCAAGACATATCCTGGTGGCTTATAATTTATGCATTTATTTCTTACAGGCATTTGTATATATATACACTTTACACAGCATTTTACATACTGTACATCCACATTGGTCTCTGTCTTTAAGGAACTTACAATCTAAGGTCCCCATCTCACATGCGTACATACATGCACACATACAAGGGACAATTTAGATAGGTGGCAATTAACCTACCAGCTATGGTAGTCCACCCAGAAAAAAACCCTAATATACATAAGATCACAATTCTTCCCCTGCTCTCTTTCCTTAGCCTTCATGGCTGGGGGAATTCCTTGGAGAACTGAGTAACAACAATATTCATATAAGACAATTGTGCAGGTGTAGTTGTTACTACAACAGAAAAGCGGTTTCAGGTGGGGAGATCTCCCTGTTAGGCTTGTGTTGAATTGACTCTGTCCTTTATAAAAAGAAAGCTGCTAACAGGTATAAAGTGTAGGCACCTTACACTGCTTACTGCAATGTCTGAATGCTGGACCGATCTGAATGGATAAAACCAACAACAATTCCAAGTTGACAAGGTAATATCAGAGCTTGTCAACTCTCTCCTGCCCGCTTACATTCCTCACATTTCTAGTGGCCCATTATCATTACAGGCTGCATTGGTGGGCATTAGAAATGTGTGGGAGGCAGGAGGAGGCAGACAATTTCTGTCAATTATATGAAGTGCCAGAGCTTTGCTGTTCAGAAAAACCTAACATTTGGCTGTAGCAGAGGGCAAGGAAAGCCGATACAGATCTGGTATATGCTTGCACTTTATACCTGCTCTCCTTTTGTAAAGTGATGTAACTTCAAGTTTTAACAAACCAGTGTGTGATCAAACTTACCAGAGTCTTACTGCCTTGGGAGTTCAGTTTTAAACAAACTATGTAGAACATTTTCCAATGTATTTTTAGGGCTACTGATTCATGAAAAGTCAAAAGATTCAGAATTCAGGAAAATCTTGTAAAATTCATATCACTCATGTCGTACAAATTTATTGAGGTTATTTTAAACAGATGCATTAGAAGAATCTAGTAACCAATACATATGATATTCTGGATACTAGTTAACGATCACAGGAAACTGCGCTGAGTTGGCCAATGATGTAGTTCATATCTCACCTTTTCAGGAAATGGTTGTTCCAATTGGTCAACGTCAAGAGGTGTTATCAATGGTACCTTGTCCTCATCCAGACCTTGTTCATTGTCACCTTTCTCTGCCAGGTTAGCCCCCAGCTGCACCATGGTCTCCGGAACAGCTAAACCGTGAAGAAAACCTAAAAATCATAACAATAAAAACGTGTTTAGTTACCATAATTATAAGATACAATTATCTAAATATGTGGACCCAGCATCAGATATAGAGGAACGCTAACCAAGCCTTATTCTTTTGTTAAAATCTCTGTCAGATCTTCATTGCTGTCTATGTTCCCATTGGGTAATTTTCCTTCTCCCCCGGTGGCAATAGGAATGACAATCAGGAGAGAAAGACTAAATTGTTGTGTGCCCAGTGAGAGGTTGTTAGCACTTCCTGTCCCAGTGACAGTGCTCACCAGAACAGACTATAAGGGAAAATCTGCCTAGTTATGAGTAGTCACAGTAAAAATGTTAATTGCGGGGAATTTTACTTGCTCAGGATAACATAGCTGTGGTGAACAGCCCCCCTTAGTAGAGAATGGCTGGATGGCTGTACACCCTTTTATGCCGCTACTTGTGTAAACTCACACAAAATTTTTAACACCATTGACCGTGGAGTGGGTCTTTTACTAGGGCTTAAAGGGTAGGCTGCTGTAAACAAAGCTAGCAGGGTCTTGTCCTGTATTAAAAAGGGGATGTATTGCAGGGTCTATACAAGTTATTCATTGAAATGTGTTAGTGACAATCAGCAACATGGTGTGTTGGTGTGATGCTCTGGAAAACATCCAGTAATCCTAGCACACATTCCAACTTTAAAAGGACAATAGTTGAGCGGACTTTGAATACCATTTACAAAGCTAAAGCCTATCACCAGGGGGAAACAAACAATACTCTCCTTGCAGTGAGGCTACCCCCTCACTGCAAGCATAACTGTTTGTAAATTGACATTTACTTACCTGATCCCTGTTCTCGCAGACTCCAAAGCACAGTGCCCACATCCTCTTCCCTCCATGCTCCGGTGGTCAGAGACCTGCTGACATCAACACATACTATGCTATAACATTCGGTCCCTGTTATCCTGAAAAGATTTCTGCTGTGGAATTTAAGTCTATCTTTGGGGGAAACAAAATTCCCCTTGTACTGGGGTTACCCCCAAACTGCAAGGGTTGACTATGTGTTAGTGTCCAGAGTACTTGCAAAGAAATGCCAACTCCTCCAGAACGACATCCACCCATCAAGGCATGTTGATATTTGCATTACTCCTCCCAAGAGCTGGTCAACCGCTTGCATCAGGGCTGAGAGCTTTACTGAGGCAGCACATGGGGCCCTCGGGCAATACAAGATTATCGCCTCGGTATGCGATCTGGGCTGGCTAGATAGAAGCCCTTTAAGTTGGAGTGACATCTTAAGGTTGCCTAGTAACCTCTCCGTGACACTCACTAGAGTTGCTGCAAGGGTATACAAGGAAAGGCAGATGGAGCCTAGGTGTTTGGGGGGCAGTGGGTGAACAGAGGAGGTCTCCCTATTGTGAGCAAGCGGACAGAGAAGATGTGCGTTCACTCATTGCTAAGTAGTATGCCTGGATTGCTCCCTGTGGAGAGTAAAGGGAAACAGGACTGATACCCCTGCTGTAAAGAGGATGCCTAAGGAAGTGTTTATAAGTGTGGACATGGGTCTCTCCAGGAAAATTAACTATCTGAACCTGTACAAAGTTTATGTGCCATTAGATGGGTCTGTGAAGTAACAATTGCATTTGATGTATCTCTTGTTCACTGATTTGCTAAATTAAAGAGCATGCTTCATTTATTATGCAAAAATGTATCCTATTTGTGTATCACTCAGCTGTAGATCCTCAAATAATTTCTGAATTCATGGTTCCTTCTGGAGAGTGGCTTCTTTTGTTCCCCGTGGTGCATATGTGTGTTGTAAGGTAGCCACCACTCCAAGCTTGCTCCCGTGATACAAATTAGTAAACTAAATATGAGATTGTAGTCCATCATGGGAGTGAGCTTGGAGCCGTGGCTACTTTACAACACACACAGGGACCATGGGGGCAATAGTAGCCCCCATCCAGAAGGAAGGACAGTGTCAGCACCAATTCAGAGATGATTCGAAGATCTACAGCAGAGTGATAAACAAATAAGCTACATTTAACCCTTTCGCTGTCAAGGACGTACGGCATACGGAGCTACAAAAGTGCTTCTGGCTGGCTGCTCAGTCGAGCCGAAGCATATGCCTTCGGCTTGACTGAGCCGATCTACCAACTTTGGGAGCTGTACGGGCTCAAGTGAAAAAAACTACTAAAAAAAAACCCCCAAGTACTCCCTCCCCCCACATAACACACACATATTGTGGTGCACACCATGCACATGCGCTGCAGTGCGTTGTTAGAACGCATCGCAGTGCATGATCTTTTTTATTTATTTTCTTTTTAAAAAACATTAAATTAACTGTGGCAGCGCATGGCAAAGCTGTGTGACTCATTGCCATGCGTTGTGATACCTTGTGTTGCAATTAAATATACACCTGTATCATTTTATCACAACACAAACACCAAAACAATTTTTTACATAAGTCGATTATTTACAGTTTTGCATACCTTCATTTTTTTACCTTTTCGCAAAAAGGCGCAATTACAAATTTGCTAATATTTGTTATTTATTAACTCAATACAGTTTTATCTTTTAGATTTAGTCAGAAAATAATTTTTTTTGTGCACGGATACTGATTTTGGTGTGTTTTAACAATTGAATTGTGTATTTTTATCGGTTTAATATTAATTTGAGAAACATTTGCGCAATTATCGCAGGGCCTACAAATTTAGTATCACCATCTTTTTATTCTACCGGGCCTGCGCTTTCAGAAAATATATGGTTTGGGGGGTCTTTTACAAACGCTAGCAACGCAGCAGTTGAAAATCAAATCAATAGGAAAAAATTGCAGAAAATTCAAAAATGGCTTGGCCAGCTGATTTGAAAAATGTTCCGGAGGGCTTGGCAGCGAAAGGGTTAAGATGTAACTCCTGAGTTTAGTGTCACTTAAGGCATATATAATTAACCCAACAAGCTATCTGCATGCATACTGTATACATTGTATTCTTAAATGCCCAAGCTCCAACTTGAAGTTCAAAGTCTCTTTATGGATATTGCGTATTCTTGCGTTTTGTGGCTTCAGAGAAGCTCTGGAGAAGAATTTAAAAGAATTTAAAAGAAGAAAGTATGCACCTATGTGGTTTAGGTTGGCCTAATGTAAATCTAAAGCCAAAACTGAAATTCATAACTACAGGTGAAACTCGAATAATTAGAATATCGTGCAAAGTTCATTTATTTCACTAATGCAACTTAAAAGGTGAAACTAATATATGAGATAGACTCATTACATGCAAAGCAAGATAATTCAAGCCGTGATTTATCATAATTGTGATGATTATGGCTTACAGCTCATGAAAACCCCAAGAACCCCAAATCCACAACCTCAAAAAAGTAGATTATTACATGCAATCAATAAAACAAGGATTGTACATAGAACAATATCGGACCTCTGAAAAGTACAAGCATGCATATGTACTCAGTACTTGGTTTGGGCCCCTTTTGCAGCAATTACTGCAATTACTTTTGCACGATATTCTAATTATTCGAGTTTCACCTGTATATGACAGGTTTATTAGTCAAAACATGATGCAAATTACAATCCATAGATCACATTCTAACATTCTACCATATCTCTGCATGAGCAACTCATTAGCACCTTTGACACAATTTATATCATCTTGTAGACAGGTGCCGTGTTGGTTTCCACACTTTGTCCATACGTTTATTGTACATTGCAATTCACTTAGGATACATTAATGTAGAAAATAACCTTTAATGCATGGTTGAGGTTGAATGAAGACACAGGTCCCTCAAGTTCAACCTTTGTGTGTCTGTGTGTGTGTTGTGCATGCATGTGTGTATATGAGTCCCTGTGTGGTCTTAGTTTTAATCTTCTCACTTCAAACAAATTGAAATTTAGCAACCTTGTCTTATAGCTTTGATCCTCCAGCCACTTACTTAGTTTTGTTGCCCTTCTTTGGACTCTCCCTACCTCAAGGATATCCTTTATTCTGACTCCGATTGTTGTGATAGCGATTTATCCCTTGTTGAGACCTCTAAGCCTGGCCTGTATAAGCAGATATACTCACTGCGGACAATCCTTGTCAGATAGCTGAACTCACCAATACCGATTCATTCAAAAGGGTGCTTTATTCTGAACATCAAGGTTACAGCAGATGACAGGAACAGCAGTTGAATGGTTATAGTATTGTGCGGTCAAAAGATGATGCCTTTCCTAGCGTACTATGCAGAATACATGTGTCCTTGTTACATGTGGCCTGTTAGCTGTGGCCATGACACAGGAAGTACTCACTAACAAGAAGAAGGGTGGGGCTTACGTAAAGAGGAACTGAGTCATCGACCTCAGGGATATCAGGGAAGGCATTGAAAAATACATACACTACCACAAAAGGCCACTAGATGGCAACATATAACCAAATATAGAATGGCCATGGGAAAATGTATAGGGAAAACACTCTATGCAAAACTTCTATCTATATTAACTTCTATAACATATTCTATGCCCCATTGGGGCAGCACACTCCCCGTCTGGCATGGTAATGCCACTATATACACCATACAACGGTAGTTATGCAAATACAAATAAACAGTATTAAAGTCCATAACGTGAACTTGTAACTTGTCCTCTGGACCTGAAAATAAGAGAGAACATATATGCACAAGTTCAAATATAAAATAAAGTCTATGATGACCATCAACATAGCAGACTTGATCACTGGAACAGTTTTTCAAGTGCAGTAAATCACTCTATGAGAGGAAACTTGTAAAGTTCCTTAGTGATGCACAAGATAGTCTCCTTAGTTGGTTAAAGGCACTTTGGATAAGTCCATCCCTGGATGTGCATGGTGCACGTAAGTACCTGAAGAACATGGGGCTCATGTAACTCCAGCTGCAAAGTATCCATGTGAAACAGGCACAGTTCCAATCTTCTGGGTGAGAAGAGTAGCTGGGTTAAGGATGGCTGTAATTCTGAATCTGTAGACACATCACTGCTGATGAATGGATTCAGCTTAGCAGTTGGATTGTTT